ACAAACCTCACGCAAGGTCCCCATGCGTTCCCCTACCCCTCCCTACTACCCTCCCGCTACTTAGGGAAAACTACGTTTGATCATTAATCAGGGGAACCTAATAGGGCGGAGATAGCAGGGACACCATTGTTGTCTCCGGTCCTAACCTACAATCACAGATCTAAGCCAGCTTGGCAGGCGTTTGGTTTCGGGTTCCACACAGTCCCGCCCAGACGTTTGCAGTTCTTCCTTCTTAATTTTAGTTACGTCACCACAACCTGCCCTAAATCCTATATTCCTAATTGCCTTAAAGCCGCAATCCTTCAAAATCTCACGGGACTAAGGGTTGAACGAAATAGACTCAGGTGCAGCTCCACAATTCCACCTTTGCTGCTACGCCCAACGCTGCTTGACAAGCAATGCCTAAGGATCCACACGACAAGGCAGCTTGTGTGAAAAAGGTTCCTTGCGCGCATCTATCATAGACAAAGATCCTTTCCGAGATTTCCGATTGCAGGGGCGCTCGGAATCCATGGGAGGATCTGTATCTTCATGTGCTTGTTCAGCCGCAAATACTGTTTCGCGGAAGGCATGGATGGAGTCTGATGGCAGAATCCTGTGTGCGTGTGTTTGTTTGAACTTGCATATGTGTATGTGTATCTCTCTCTATATATATATATATGTGTGTGTGTGTGTGTGTGTCCCAGGACCCTTCATGGCCCAACCTCTGGGGCATGGCACGGGTGGACGTGGAGCGAGCCTGGTCTGGAGTGCACGAGCTCGGTGTGCAGAGTCAGGAGGCCTCAGGGCCAGGGTTTGGGGTTCAAAAAGAGTTTAGAGCTTAAGGTTTAGGATTTGGGGTGTAGGCCTGACACATAGCCAGATGCCTGTAAGAGAAGGTTCAAAGTTTAGGACTTAAGGCTATGTCTATGTCTATTGTAGGATCGAATTAGTAGGTTTAGACATGAGAGACTTTAGGATTTAAGGTTTCAGGGTTTGAGGTTTACCATTGATGATTGGAAAAAGGAGGATTGCTGGCCCCGTGTGATCATAGATTCCCTGGTATGTATTGTATTGTCTTGTATTGCATTGTATTGCATTGTATTGTCTTGTGTTGGTGTTGATAATTGGTGTCATCAATAAACCAAGCGGGCGGGAGTGGGGTGGGTTGGGTCTTAGGGAGGGGATTTCATAATGCAGGCCTCTTTAGGGTTAGCAGGTTCAGAACATTGGGGCTCAGGGGTGTAGGACTAGGGTTCACTGCTTCGCGTTCAGGGGTGTAGATATTTTATGATAGGCACAGAGGTTTTGGCGCTTGTGAAGCTTGCAAGATTTGTTGGCGGATTTGCTCATGTGATTCCTTCTAATCCTACGCTACACTGCGCCTCCAGAAGGCCAAAACCGGAGGCATTCAATGAACAATGTGAGCACGAAACCTCGTGGCCCAGACAACCCTCCTACATTCCCGCTTAATCAGCTTTGCTGAGAGAAGGCCCTCATTGCTTCTAGGGCCTAGCTTCGCATGTGCAGGTCTCAGGCCGGGGAAATCATAAATGTGGTCAAAAAGCCATGATTCGGTGTTGGCCACCCCCACAAAAAGGCAAAAGCGGGTTATTTTCAGGCTTAGTAAATGGCTTATTGCGGATTGTCATGGCGGTCCCTTAGACGATTATGCAGGATGCAGACCTAAGCTTCAGAGATGGTGAGCGATCATCAGCATCATGGAGAACACTTCAGTCCGATCCCCCTGCATCCCCCCTCTCCAACTGCTTACAACCCCCAGTGGTACATCATAGTACCGTAGAGTTTTATAGAAGGGGGGGTGGACTAAGACATTTTGCTGAGAAGAGGCGGGAATTAGCACGCTGCCTTGGCTTGCTACTAGGGCTCTTACCTTGCTTAGCAGGACAGGAGTCCTGCTTTATACCCAAGATGCTGAGCTCAGGCGGAAAGCATTTCAATTGGACATATAGAGCACGATTATGATCGTGTTCTCATTTTGGCCGAAGTATCTTCCAATGAGAAATAGGTTTTGGTCCAACCACCGAAAACATTACTCAGGTTGTGGTAGCAGTGATTGACACTGGGGTGCAGCTGGATCACCCAGACCTGCAAGACATGCTGTGGACAAACGCGGGCGAGATCCCGGGGAATGGAGCTGCCTGGCTCATTTGTGCCTTTCGCACATGTCCACAAATTTCTCAGACTGCTGATGTGAGGAGTGCTTAGTATTAGCCTTTTGGGGTTAAGTAGCCTGGGAAGTTCGATGATGTGTACGGGCTATGGTCCAGGGTATTCTGGATACTCAAACTACTTAGATTGCCTTTGTCTGTTCCTGTTGCGCAGTCCATATTTTGGGTCTCTCGTCACGTGAGAAACGCTCGACCATACACCCAAAAACAACAAGTGGCTCAGACCTGACTCTAATTCTGTTAGAGCTAATAAAGCCCTAGTTAATAGAATCCCGCTGTGCAAGTCATGTGTTCCATTTTCTTTTGCGCACACCATTCTCCGTGATTCCTGCATATCCTGATGTACTCAGACGATCCCTAGGCCCCAGACTTACCTTGAATGCCGCATGGCTAGGCTGTCTTGTTGTATACCTTCTGTGCCTTACTGGTGCTTACGGGGCAGCAGGGGAGGGAACATAGGTCCTTGTATGGAGCACCATTATAGGGATTCGCTCTCCCTTCAGCAGGTTTTAACGTGTCTCCTGGCCTTGGGCCATTGCTCACATAAGGATCCAGAAAGGAGAGGCTTTTGCTGCCCCATTCCCGCTCAGCACCAGCTAGGTGATGAGTCCTGCAGTTTTTAAAATTGTGGTGACCCCTGAGGGGTCCGTATCATTGGGATCTGATCCTGTGGAGGCATATAAAGGGAATCTGCAGCCTTAAAGCAGAAATTCCACGCGTGATGTCAAGGTAGATGATGACGGTAACGGCTACATTGACGATGTTCATGGCTACAACTTTTTCGGTGCCATTGGCTGCAGCGCTAGCGCTGAGGAGATTCTGGCTTTGGCTTACGGGTTGTTTATCAGGGGGAAGTGGGAGTGCCACCAAAGTCTGCCAACAATCCCAATAGAATTCGTCGTTTGGACCCCATGTGTCGGTAGGACTTTTGAGGTTCCCCTGTTTTGATTGACAAGCTCCCAATTGCATGATCGCATGGAGTGCAGCTACACATCAAGCGCCCAGCAAGGTTTGGCCATTTTCTTGCTGGCTGTAGGGATGAAAGGGCATGGAAACTGCCATCCATTTGGGGTTTCGGGTAAAAATCTACACAATTTTCTTATTGGGGTGCAAAAAGGGGCTCCTAGAGGCATCCATTCCTTCATTCCCTCCTACCAGCAAGTAAGTAGCTACACTGCTTGTGTTAGCGGACCTGTGGGCCCAAATGTATGAGAACCCAATTTGAAGTACAGCGCCCTCATACCCCCCGTCGGAAAAAGGCTTGCGTAGGAACAATCAAGCGTTATCTGGGGCCTATTTCGGAGCAGGAGGTGGGGATGCAATACAGGGTTTCATACTGGCGGGAAGCCCGGCATGCGTACTTGCCGCCATCTGAGATTACAACGGGAATCCTACTGATGATGATGGCCATGGGACCCACTGTGCCACTGGGCTGCAAGACTAGGACTGAGAAACTACCATCTTGGCTGTTGTCAGCAGTGATGAACCCACGACCCACGACTTTCTGCTCATGCCATCCCCGCGCGCCTGCTCAGCAATTGCTTGCCCTAAATCCCCAAGCATCCTAAAACCCTGACTCCTTTCTAATCTCTTTTATTTTTCTAAAGGCCGGCACCCTTCTAATAGATTCTAATTGAAGTCCCAGATGAAGGTGACAGGAAAATCTTGTTTGTCTAGAATGCGGCTGGTGAGTGCATATGGGGTTCCTTGTGGTCCCTGTGGGAGACCATAAATTTCCATCGATCGATGAGGCAGGCGTTGTCGCAGCCACTGCTAACAATGGCCACCTGGCTGCCTTCTGTATTTTGTGGTTCCCTGGCGTTCAGGACTTCGGGTGCAAAAGGTCTCCTAAAAGGAGTATCGAAGCGATTTATAGGGTTTAGGGTGTTGGGCCTACTACAAGCGACTCTGGGGTTGCTAACGGGCCAGGGAGCCTACCTTGACAGAAAACTCTGAGTGCACATGGGCAGGGTTTAAACCCATACCCTGTTAAACTATAGTAGTTTCCATTTTCTTTTACATTATCCCCATATAGCCCCAATATTACCCCAATATTTTATTGGATCAGCACATACCCTCAAACTTCGACATTTGGGTCCTTTGAACTAAGGTCGGTCTAGTGTGGGCCCCATCTTTGGCTGGTGGTTCTAGGCCCCTCAGGGCGCATATTGGTGCATATATATATATACAGGGGAAATACCAGGGCATATGAAGGCCCTAGGATTATGGCCCTGTATCACTGGCCTGTGCTTGGAACCCTGGATGCGAGGCATTGGCGTTGCAGGCGTCGCCAGCCGCCTTGCGCAGGCGAATGCTAGTTCTTTGAGGGCGTGAATGAAGACAAAACTGTTCCTATACCCGCTTTTAAGTCCTGGGTTCATTCCGGAAAGTGTGTCACATGCCAGGTGTAGTGTCCTATACACCCCCTGAAGTTCGGACGCGATTTGTGTACAATCCGAGGCAATCTTGACAGGCTTTGCAAAGCCATCCCATCAATATCATGGGCTCCTGCGGCCGTGGAAGTTTCGAGCACGTCTTGCAGATTTCGTTGTGCGTTGCCGGTGGGTGTGTATGTGTGTGTTACATGAAGGCTTAGGTGTCATATCTCATGATTGTTCGGGATTCCGCAGAGCTTTTAATGTAGTCCTACTAATAGATTCAATAAATATTCTCAATAGAAACAGGAGCCAAGAAGCGAAACTCACGAATGTAGGATCTCTCGACAGTTAGGCTTCGTATCAGTCTTTCTTTTATGATTTGCTGAAGCCACTCTGGGTCAATTTCTTGTTCTGCTCTTGCTTTGTAGATTCGCCGTGCCACCCTTTTCCAATGCTCCGTGCGGCCGCAGTCCTCACCCTTCTTGGTCTGGTCCAGGCTGAGGAGCTCACGAAGGAGTCGTGGGATGCTGCAGTAAGTGGAAAGACCGTGTTCGTGAAGTTTTTTGCCCCTTGGTGTGGCCACTGCAAGAAGATGAAGCCCGATTGGGACAAGCTGATGCAGGAGTTCAAGGGCTCCTCTGATGTTTTGATTGCAGATGTGGACTGCACTGGCGGCGGCAAAAGCAAGTGCGACGAGGTGGGCGTTCGAGGCTTCCCTACGCTCAAGTATGGTGACCCCGACGACCTTCAGGATTACAAGGGCGGGCGCTCCTACAGTGAGCTTTCCAAGTTCGCGAAAGACCTTGGCCCCCAGTGCGGACCCGCAAACAAGGATTTGTGCGATGACGCCAAGAAGAAAATGCTTGACGAGTACATGGCCATGGATGGCTCAAAGCGTGAGACCATGATCAAGGAGAAGGAAGCCGAGTTGGAAAAGCTAGAGTCAGACTTCAAGAGCTTTGTGGAAGGCCTCCAGAAGCAGTACCAGGAAGCCAGCGACAAGAAAGACAAGGATGTGGAGGCCATCAAAAGCTCGGGCCTGGGTCTCCTCAAATCAGTCTCCCGACACGTCCAGAAAGTCATCTTTCATAATTTCTTTGGAGAATACCAAATCCAACAGCCCAACCGTGGACAAGCCACGCGTGCTGGACCCAAGAAGCCCTAAGTCCTAAATTGTCCATATGTCCTCAACCATTGCAGTACAACTCTAATAAAGAGATACTGGACAGCTAAGGTCCACTCTTACAGCAAGAAGGCCAAGGCGGAGCTTTAGAGTGGCGGAGACTTGGGCAATTGGCCCAGTAGCTTCGAGGGCGCAGTTTTGTGCGCCCTCTGTTCCTGCACCGAGCCGAGTCTGCGGCACCTTTTCGGTAGTAGGGTCCGAGAGTTTTGAGCGGTAGATAGACACACTAGTTGTAGCGCATATTACATGGCCCACCACACTAATACCGGCAGAATACAAACACAGAGCCACAGCCCATCCGATTACCATTGTCCCCTATGCTAAGCATGGTTACTGAGCTAGGGATCGCCGAAGGTACATACCTTTTCATCGGGCCCTTGAAACCGATCAGCTGCGCCTAGGGCCGTAGGGTAACTCTTTGTGGGACCCTGAGGATTATAGGGTTTAAGGCTGAGGTCATTTCGGGATGAAGCAGATTACCAGATGCCAGAGTCCCTCAAAGTATGCATGCAGAGGCTGCTTCTGATCCTTGCTTCAGCTCTCAGGGTCCACATCCAGGATCCCCAAGTCAATGCAAAGTCTCATCAGAAAGCAGCCTTCGCAGCAAACCCCACGGCAAACATGCCATGCAATGGAGCAAAAAGAGATTTGGCCGCACAGATTGACGTATAGCAACACAGTGTAGAAGCAAGTGGACAGCACTGATATCACATAAGATAGAAGAGAGTGTGTGTGAGCTTTAATTCGGTCAGGCCTATCTGCTTGCCGAGTTTTGGATCGCTGTAACGCAGACGCTCAAAACCCAAACTGGAGTTTTGGTGTACTTTTGTTTTATATAGAAGTATGTGAGGATTAGAAGGCGATTGTGTTCGAAATTGTTCAGGCTTCTTCGTTATTCTCAGTTTTGCCTCTTTTTTTTGGTTTCCGAACTGCGCAATAGGAAAGGGTAGGGAGGAGACTTCCTTCCACATGCCAAATGCTGTCTGGACCAATGTGGCTAGGATACAGTTCAAATCAAAACCAGCTTTTACCCCGTAGTCTTTCGTAATTACTTACCCATAGGGATTGCGCCAGTTCTGCGCACATAGTAGCCTCAAAGCCTGCGGTAGGCCCGCATCATGGCGATTCGCTTTCTTTCAAACACCGGCGGCCGCACCAGCGACGCTGTGCTTTCGCCGCTATGCTTTGTTGCTCTAGGTGTTTAGCTGACAGGACTGTGGCCGCATGGTCCGTGATAGTTTGCGATTTAAAGCAAGTGCCGTAGAGTAGCTTGGTAGAGCAGCACCAGCTGTCTGCCGGGTTTGTGGGCCGTAACATCACTGGGCTCTTGACAGGGATCATTCACACTAGTTGGTTGGTTGCCGCACACAAGCGCAAAGGATCTTCTTCTTAAGTAATAGAGACATATAGAGACTAAGATAATGATTCGTTTCGTGATCTTACATGCTCAGACCATGTGCCCGCTTTGATGCGACCGAGAAGTCCAACTTGCGTGTTCCAACAGAGGTACTGCTGGGAACTCTTAGGGACATACTGCATTATCGGGAATCATGAGTTCTTAGGGAGTCTCTTCCGCTTCCCTTTCAGTAAGCCGCACGGCAAGAGATATTGTGCGGAGTTTGATTTGGAAGCTTTGGGGATCGAGAATGATGCGTTCGCATGATCCAACAAGCAATTCTTCGTGACAACTTGTCCAGGGCCAGCCGGCGCGGTTCGTGGCAAGCAATTCTCAGCAGACTTGACTGCTCACGTGGACATTCGGACACCATGCTTAAATCCTTCTAGCATCAAAATTCCAGGTGCCAGGTGTCTATGCTGCGCGCTATTCAGGCATTTAGCTAGGCCTGGCGTGAGAATATCATCGAAGCAGGAAGAGGACCAGGCTCGTTGGAGACGGACCTCCAGAAACTGTAGGATTGGGTCGTGATTTTTCCTTTCTTGGATTAAAGTAGCTCCTCCCCAACTCATAATCTTCAAGCTGGATTTGTAAATGGCAGCCGGCTCAGGCTAGAGTATGCCCTGGCCAACGGCGCGCATATTTCGTCCAACAGCTCCTTGGCATGTGGATAAGATAGCAGCCTGAAGGATTGGGAATGTTTCCCAGTTTCTGATCAAGTCAGAACACTCCAGCACTGACCTTATGCTAATCATGGGCTCCTACCGTAACGAGCTGAGGCATCATCATACGTTTTGTGGTTGATGATTGATTTCTGCCTGGCCGTATATACTCCCTAGACGGGGGAACTGTACTTACACAGCGACGGAACAAAAGCTCAGGCATATGTGCGGCTCCTAGGCCCTCCTTACCTCAGAGCATGCATGTGAGTGTTTCTCAGAATGAGGAGCACATACATACATACATACATACATACATGCTCACTCCCGACCGAAGGCAAGCTCCCGATGGCATGATGGCGTATAGCCCTTGTTCTCGGGTCTGCAGAAGGTAATTCTTGTATCATGCTGTGAGACCTTTGAAATGTAAAGGCTAGATGCCCATTGCAAAGTGAACATGATTCATTTATCATCCCTTCATGCCCGCAAGGTTAAACCCTCGGCTCAAACTAGACCTCAAACCGTAAACTTGAATCCCCCAGAGTCTGAATGCAAGGTTGGGGAGGCGGTGGGCAGTCGGCTGCACTCCGCGCAGCATTGCAGGCAGCAGCAGAGGCTGGCTTGGCTTGCCGTTTTTTTCATTTTAGTTAAGGGTTCGGGATTGTGTTTCAGGATGTGGGGTTTAGCATTCACTCGCAGGGTGTATCTAATGAGAGCCTGGATGCCCAATGAGCCTGGTTGCACATACAGGCATATACACATAGGACAGCGGCATGGTTATCTCCCTCACATGAGACCTTGAACAAGCGCCCCACGCTGATTTGTTGGTGCATAGGGGAGTGGCGGTGTGGATCCGATTTTAGTAGTTCGGCGAATAATCATACCTGCATGACTGGCTTTCATGGTGCAGGCACTCCCCCAGTCCCCCTAAGCAGGAGTAAGTTGAAAGCCCGAGCAGGCAGACCATCTTTTCATTGCGGCCGCTGGCAACGATGGGACCCTTGCCGTTTCTGCGTGGCTTCTTATGTCCAACTAGCATAGCATGGAAGCCCAAAAGGGGCGCCGCAAAAAGTAGCCCCTTGAAATATCTGGACTCACACCTGAGGAAAGGGTGGATCCGATTGCTGCAATTTTCTTGTGATTGCGGCGTACGTGAGAAGGCCTACATCACTGACCCAAAGCTGCGCAATTTCTTTTTCATGACGTTGGTGGATCCGGCTTCCGTTCTGCCCAGCTGAAGTTGAGGATCCAAAATTCCAGGCCTTCCTCCGGGACTTGTCATCTCCTTTGTTCATTCCTGAATGACCTTGATAGCAGAGGATCGCAGGGCTTCAGATGCCAGCCCAAAACCGCTGAACTTGTGAAATGCTACGCCAGCTAGGATCTGGAAGCCCTAAATGTGGATAAGCACTGATCCCTTGGCCACCTCGCGCAATTGATTATGTCTTGTCCAAGTTTTTCTCTACATATACAGTACAATACTAGTAAGCACTTGGGAGGTTCGTCCTGCATAGTTGAAGCTGAGAGGAGAAAGTATTCCCAGTCGAGCCATTGAAGCGACGGATGAGTGTGTGTTGGCAACCCGCTGATACTGACGGCAGTTGGAAGATCTCACCCAGCGGTCCATCGTAGGTTTCCATGCTCATTGCCCATGCCAAGGAAGGATGTTGACGCTAGTGCCGTGGCTGCCGAAAACGTGCAGGTTTTAACTTCGGGCCATTTGAGGGCCAACGGCTGGGGGTTTGCGGGCTTGCATGGAGCCTTGTGAACTGCGGCGCGAGGCTTGCCGCTTCCACGTCTCTTAGGGCTTACGGTCTATAGGTGTTTTGGTTCAGGGGTGACCAAATGTGGCCTAGGTAAGTATCATGGGAAGACAGCCCCCTAACCCTCTGATCGGTTTTTGGGGCCTTATTTCCTGCGAGCCCACGCCCAAAAGCTTCACAAGGTCCAGACTACCCCTGTGCCTACAAAGAGCCGTCTGTGCCGCGCTCAGATGAGAAGTATGGTTTAATTCCAGGCCCAAATATATACCGCATGGGTTCCTAAACCTAGTTCTGTTGTCGAGATTGACAGGGTTTGGGGAATTCTGTTATCATGAGTTCGCGTATCACATGTCACGCTACACTACCACCTCCAAATTCTCGCCTAAATGAAGCGTATTTAGGGCTAAAAAAGACTACAGAACTGCATCTCCATGCTGATGGTGGGGCTTCAGGTAACTTTTGGGGCAAGGAGGATTTTGATTTCAATCATGTGGGCCCTCGGAGTTCACCCCAAATATCCCAAGAATCAAAATGCTCCTGCTATATGGAGCCCCAACAAGGGAATCCCTCAATTTCGGAAGAGTTGGTCGTATCCGCCTGCCAAGAATAGCGTTGCGTTCTGCAGCTATTGGTTCTGCTTGGTTGAAGAGCAGCCCCATAGTCACCCCCACCAAAAACATTGTCCAGATCACGGGTAATAAGACAGTCTATCTCAAAAACATCCCATTACCTCAGATTAGCACCGTGGCATGAGTAGTCCCCTTGCCAAGAGGCCCCTACCCCCACAACATCAACCTCGTGACTATAACAGAACTCCACAGGGTCCTTGTCGTAGTAGTCTCGATTCCCCAAATCCTATCATCATAGCCGCGAAGCCCTAAACCTTGAACCCTCGCTGTGGTCAGTGTAACTGCTTTTACCATCACCTCTGGTGCCGCATGCCTGAAATACTTGAACCCGAACTTGGACACTCTGGACCAACCCTAAAGCTGCGCTGAGAGATCGAAAGATCTTTGTTGAACATGTCTTAGGAGGTCCCATACCCTTGTGGATACCTTCCAACATCGGCAAGCCCTGTGCTTGTTGTGTTTCCAGATGACAGATGACCGCACAATGCGCGAAGGCGCCTAAAGCCCCAAACCCCAAAACCTTGAGAAGCCCACGTGTTCGCATCCTTTCAGGACTTGGTAGGAAAAGTCAAGTTAACCACACAACATCATTGTAGTGTCTTGCCTTGTACTTGTGATTATTGACAACATTGTCTTTCAGAAT